ACACCGGACGCGTGTCTTTATTATTTACAAAAATCAGCTGACCGTGACAGCAGCATCATCGCATCGCCGCTTGATTATCGCGAATCTGTGAGGTGAATCGCGGTTTTTTCAGCGGGAATATATACCTCATTTCGTGTGTCGAAATCATTTTGAAACATCATCATTCTGTCTTAATGTTAAGCAAATCCGGCGAAAAAATAAAAGGAAAGAAAGATTATTTTTTTAAATTTATTTATTTATTTAATTAATTTATTTAAAAAAAATTATAATAAAATTTACAATAAAATTAATTATTATTTAAATAAATAAATTTATTTAATTAAACAAATTTTTTTATCTTATATATTACTTTATATATATTGTATATATATATTTTTTTTTATCACGTATCTTCATTAATTTGTTTTATATTTTTATTTGTCACACTCATGAGAACCCATACAGCACGAAATATCATGAATATTTCCAAATATATTTCTAAATATATTAAAAAATTTTTTTTAATTAAAAAAAATAATTAAATTATTAATAAATAAAAATCATTAATTAAAAAAAAATTTTTTAATTTTATTATACACTTTTGAGACTGACGGAATCACGTCGCAAAATTTATTCACGTTCCCGCGCGCATTTCATACCGGACGCGTTACGTCGCGCGAGGTCGCGAACATTTCCGGTCCATGAATGAAGTCACACCCGATGTGCGAAGGGTGCGTTATGTGTCAACAAGAGGTTGGACCTTTTGTCGCTCGCAGAAAAGAGGAGCTCTTTGTTCCGGTGTCTTTATTAAGTCTGAATTATCCTGTGGGAAAAATTGCGACCTCTCTCTCTCTCTTCGGGAAGAATCTCTTCTTTCTTCCGGTTCTATCCACGTATCCGCGCAAAGGTGCGACTGGTTATATGTATATGCTTGGAGGAGCATGACCGGCTTGGTTAACTGTACACGTGTGTCTCGCATGCTCCTTAATTCTGTAATCACTTCGGTTGAGGAAGGCTCGCGCTTTCGCAGCCTCCGAACGGCAAGAGATTTTTCACGTCGGAGAAATTCGATTTTTTCATCTATTTTTATTATTCTCATATATTATCGTAGATTTATTTATCATTATATTATCATATATTTTATTATCTTATATATATTTTTTTATTACGTATCTTTAGTAATTTGTTTTATATTTTTATTTGTCACACTCATAAGAACCCACAGCACGAATATTATATGAATATTTTCAAATATATTTCTAAATATTTCTATAAAATATTGCATAAAAACATTTTAAAATAGAAATGATTTTACATATATTGATGTTTTATTTATTTATTATATCTGTATCACATCTTTGAGAAGATAAATGAGACGTCTAATTTCGAAAATTATTTTCGAAATTCCATTTTATATTTACCTGTCTACACGTTAATTTATTTAGAATAATTTTCTCCTCTTTATATTAATTTTGAGAATTTTTAAAATTAAGAATTTATTATATAAAAAAATATTTTTTCTTTTATTATTATATATCATATATTGATGTTTTATTTATTTATTATATTTGTATCACACCTTTGAGAAGATAAATGAGACGTCTAATTTCGAAATTCCATTTTATATTTACCTGTCTACACGTTAATTTATTTAGAATAATTTTCTCCTCTTTATATTAATTTTGAGAATTTTTTAAAATTAAGAATTTATTATATAAAAAAATATTTTCTCTTTTATTATTATATATCATATATTGATGTTTTATTTATTTATTTATTTGTATCACACCTTTGAGAAGTATCTAACCCTTTGACGATAATATAAGATGTCGATTATATTTGTATCACACCTTTGAGAAGATAAATAAGATGTTTATTTCGAAATTCCATTTATATTTATCTGTCTACACATTAATTTATTTAGAATAATTTTCTTTCTTTCAGATTGATTTTGAGAATTCTGAAATTCATTGAGATAAAATAAGACGCGCGCTTTCGAATGCGCGTTAGACAGTTGCGTTTTATCCTACATTTATTGAAATGTGGATGACGGTATAACGTACATAAACAATATGTATTTGAAGACTGCGATCTTTATAAATTGAATCTCATTCATTGATTTTATCGTTGGCGTGTGTGGAAGAAAATAGAACGCCTGCGGCTTTGATTTAAAATCCTTTCGCGTTTAAAACAGCAGCTGATGTGCACAGAAGAACATCAGTAACTTAACATTTACGTCAGATGGGTTTCACAAGAGTATATTAGCCTCAAACGCACTTCCTTTGCACGTATATTATACGTCGTTTTTTCTTTCGAAAGTTTCAAATCATAATTACAGATTTTTAGTGTAATGTTAAAAATTCAAAGAAAAATCTCAGGTGGAGGTTTTTATCCCCGGAGAATATTCGATAGAATTTTTGCTCGAACAAATCTCTCTTTCGTCGGGCAAAATAAAATTGAAAAGTCGATCCTTAAATAATTCCGTGAAATACAAGTCGCATCACGTCGCGAGTTGCAGTTGCAACTGGTTGCACTCGACGAAGCGTGACGTCGCGCTGTATCCTGTTCAACGTGTCGCTTCTTTCCGCCACATTTTGCGCCACTCGATGCACAAATGGAGGCACGAATGTTTCACTTTTAATTCAAAATCACTATACAAAAGAAATCATTCATGTCCCATATAAATTAATTATTTACCAATTTATTTTCAATTTTAAAAAATTACTTACAAATTTATTTTACTAACAGACGAATATTAATATTCCGCAAAAAAATTATTATAAATGTTACATAATGATTTTTTTATTAATGAAAAAATTTTGTTCTATTAAGCGTAAACATTTTTTTAATTTATCAAAAAATGTAACTTTTCCAAAATAAAAATAATTTTAATATTTATTCTCAAGGGATTTTTTTGGTATACGATCTCCATTTTAGGGGTGAAAAGATGTAATTTAATCACGAACTCGATTTAATTCAAAATCACTGTACAAAAGAGATCATTAATATCCCATATAAATAAATTATTTACAAATTTATTTTCAATTAAAAGAAATTACTTAATATTCTACAAATAAATTATTATAAATGTTACATTTTTATTATTTTTTATCAACGAAAAAGATGAGAAATTTTATATTTTGTTAAGCGTAAACATTTTTTTTTAATTTACCAAAAAATGTATAACTCTTCCAAAATAAAAATAATTTCCATATTTATTCTCAAGGAATTTCCTTGGTATACTATCTCCATTTTTGAGGTGAAAAGATGCAGTTTAATCACGATTTTTATCTTTAATGCTATATTTACCACGATCTGCTATACGACTTGATTGCAATTAGAGGCGCGTTTCTGCCTTCGAGTTTATCAGACCGTAAGGTTCGCTTCTAACGCTACAGATGCTCTGGCCGTATATAAGCACTTAAGATTGCGTTACAAGCAACTGCATCGGTCGGATTAATGCACGTACGTGATTTATATAAAGACTAATAATAAATACATCGCAGGGTTTGCTCCGTCCGATGCCTCTCTTAGGATGTTAAAGTCGTCGGGTTGATTATTATCGTATTTAATACAATTATATTTTTGCAAAATATTCATACAGTTTATTACATGTGACATTTATTATTAGGCAATCGATCTAAGATCGATTTGAGAAAAATATTTTTTTAAATTTGGGATTTTTTAAATTACAGTTTTTGAAATATTATTAGAAGAAACATTTCTTTTTTTAATTTGGAATTTTGAATTGCAGTTTGTATAAGTAATATTTGGCGTAAAAAAATAAGTAGTGCGTGATTTAATATATATAATTATAGTATTTTAATAATTAATAATAAATAAATTCTGAATATTTTATCGATGATATGGGACGATTTTATTGAGTTATTATCATATTTATAAATACAATTGTACTTGTAAATTATTTATACAGTTTAATTATCGCATGTGGCATTTGTTATCAGACAATCAATATTAATGAAACCCATTCGAGAAAAATTTTTATAGAAGAAATATTTTTTTTTTTAATTTCTGGTTTTTTAAATTGCAGTTTATTAAGTAATATTTGGCGTAAAAAATAAGTAGTGCGTGATTTAATAATTAATAATAAATGCTCTGAGTATTTTATCGAGTATTTTTTAAATTACAAGAGTTATAAATCATTAAGTATTTTTTAAATTACAATTTATGAAATATTATTAGAAGAAATATTTCTTTTTTAATTTTTAATTGCAGTTTGTTAAGTAATATTTGACATAAACAAATAAGCAATGCGTGATTTAATAATTATAGTATTTTAATAATTAATAATAAATACTCTGAATATTTTATCGAGGATATTGGACGATTTTATTGAGTTATTATCATATTTATAAATACATTTGTACTTGTAAAATATTCATACAGTTTATCGCATGTGGCATTTATTATCAGGCAATCAATCTAAAACCCATTCGAGAAAAATTTTTATAGAAGAAATATTTTTTTTTAATTTTTGATTTTTTAAATTGCAGTTTATTAAGTAACAATTGGCGTAAAAAAATAAGTAGTGCGTGATTTAATAAATATAGTATTTTAATAATTAATAATTGCTCTGAGTATTTTATCGAGTATTTTTTAAATTACAATTTATGAAATATTATTAGAAGAAACATTTCTAATTTTAATTTTTAGGAATTTTTAATTGCAGTTAAATAATTATAATATTTGAATAATTAATATTAAATGTGGGATATTTGATCAAGAATATAATCGAGTTTTATTTCACTTTTCTTGTTTACCTGGAATCGGGAGGCAATCTTAAAATTCCTATTCCACAATGACTCATCGATGGAGCAATAGCAGATTACTCACCGTAATTTTAACCTTCTCTTTAACGAAGTGACCAACATCAGCCATTCGCGTTCGAGCCTAAATAGCATTTTAATACACTTGAACTAGTTGTAAGACGTGATGATCGATCACTCTCGCGTTTGTTGCACGTTGCTTCATTTGATACAAAGGTGCATATGTGTTTCCAGATACATCCAGATGACGCGATGACGCTACATTGGTGGATGCACTGGTTCTGGGTTACCGCACAATTTCTTGGTGAGTCATCGTATCAGATTTTTTTTTATCGAATATCTTAGCATAATAAGCTTATTAATGCTAGTAATCGATTTTTAATTTTTTTTTAATTTTTTATTTTTATTGAATATTTTTTATTATATATTTTATTTTAATATATTTTATTTTTATTATTTTATATATTTTAATATATTTTATTTTTTTTTTAATTTTTTATTTTTATTAAATATATTCCGTTAATTCACTTGATAGAACTCAGATATAATCTTCTGCTCTATATCGCATTATACAATCGAATGAATGTAGTTTTAATTATCAAGATTTAATTATGATTAACCGTTTTTTTTTTTAGATCATTTTCATATAATTAATGATTTTAATTAAGATATCCTTTATATCAAAAATTAAAAAGAGAGATGTATAAAAAATTAAGTTTGGTCGAATTTTTGAAAAAAAAAGATGCACTTTGCAATTGAATGAATGCAGTTCTAGTTATCAAGATTTAATTAACCGTAATACTTTTTAAATCATTTTCATATAATTAACGGTTTTAATTAAGATATCTTTTATGTCGAAAATTAAAAAGAGAAATGTATAAAAGAATAAAGTTTAGTCGAAGTTTTGAGAAGAAAAATCAACTTTGCAATCGAATGAATGCAGTTCTAGTTATCAAGATTTAATTATGATTAATTTCAGATTTTTTAAAATTGCAGTTTATTAAGTATAATTTGAGAAAACATTTCTTTTTTCTAATTTAAGATTTTTTAATTGCAGTTTATTAAATAATATTTGGCGTAAGAAATAAGTAGTGCGCGATTGAATAATTCTAATATTTTAATAATTAATATTAAATACGGGATATTTTATCAAGAATATAATCGAGTTCTATTTCATCTTCCTTGTTGTTTACCTGGAATCGGGAAGATAAATTTATTATTACCACAAAATGACTCACAAATTGAGCAAAAGTCGATTACTCCCAGTAATATTTTTTAAATCAATATCATATAATCAAATGTCAATATTTTAATTGGAATATTCTTATATCAAGAATTAAGAGCTGAGAGATGTGTTTAAAAAAATAAATAAAATTTAGTCCATTAAAAAAAAAAATTTAATTTCATGGACGAAATAATTTTTTTCCAAAATTTCGTAGAAAGATTATTTTTCATTCTATATACAACATTATTTTTCTTTGCCGACAGTGATTCTTGGGAGTCCCTTCCCGTCTACCACGTCGGATCCCGTCAATCAGCAGCAGCCTCAGCCATCCCCGAGAACGACGTCCTCCCGGTCGATCAATACCGAGGATATCTATCGCTCGTCGAAGACGACACCCAGGCCGAGCTTACGCATCGCCAAGGCCATAGGGCTCTATCCCCGACGAACGCGGCCGTGACAGGTGACAGGCAACAGCTGATCACCACCGTAGCTTCGTCCCTGCTGGAGCAGCCGCGCGGGAGCACCGGTCACGAGGTCGTCGTCGACGAGTCCCCGACGAGCTTCCGCGGGAACATCTCCGAGGTTGTGCCGCTCGGCGCGACTACGCCGGCGCAGCGCATCATCGAGAGGGCCAGGAGCCACCCGACCGCGAAGAAGGACAGCAAGATCACGTGGATCCTGACGACGAGCAAGTCCTCGGGCAGGTCCAAGTACGATCAGGAGGAGAGATTTAATCAGTCGAACGGCAGGAACGTCAGCTTCGACGAGGTCGAGGACCTCACCGTGCTGCCTCTCCAGGAGGAGATGACCAGGCCCGATCTGGCGAACAGGACGAGATCCTTTCACGTGACGTCATTATCCGCGGCCGGTGTCGCCAGCAACGCCGCGATCAGGACGTTCAATCGCTCCGAGGACGAGGTCGAGATCGACGAGGAGGCGGCCCAGACGCAGCACTTCGCCACGGCGGCCTCCATCCTCGAAGGTGAACTCTTTGGAAGAGTGTTGTGTACAAAGCGAGAGCCATTAGCCATGACGATGTTGGAAGTCGCACGATAAAAGAGATTAGCGTTGTTATTTTTATTTATGATCATCTTTGCGCATCCTGGCCTCTTTTCTCACACTTGCTCATTCCGTTTCACTTTTCAACTCGATCCTTCTGGCGTAATTGTTCGCTCTTTCAATTTTAATTTTAATTAAATTTAAATCGTAATTTTACTTGTCTCTCACAATACACTAGAAACAAGACTGTTCGAAAATTATTAATTTTATATATATTAATATAATTAAATTATATTTATTTTAGTGAAATAAAAAGTAGATTTTTTTGTTATAAAGAGGATAAATTAATAAATGTATCTATAATAATTTTATTAATATTAAGAGTTATTTATGGATCATTATTAAATTGAATATTTTTTTTTATTATTCTATTACTTATATAAAATTAAGAATTAAATTATTAACTTTAAAAATATTAATAATTGGATTATTTATAGGTATAGGATTTTATATAAAAAATTTGATATTTATATATATATATATATAATTTTTTTTAGTTCAATATGATTTATAAATTATATATTTTTAATTGTATATAAACCATTTTTTTAATTTTGGTGAAGAAAGATTTAAAACAGATAAAAAGTGAATTGAATTTTATAGAAAAAATTTTTATTAAATTTTATTGATGAGTTAATTAACATTAATTATAAGAGTTAAATTTAAAATCTTTAAAAATTTTTATATTTGTATTTTTATTAGTTTATATTTATGATTTAATTATAAAATTAATTAAAAAAAAGAAAAAAATAATAGAATTTAAATAGCTTAAAGAATAAAGTTTAACATTGAAGATTATATATATTATATGATTTTAATACCATTACAACATATTAATTTTATATAATTTATTACATAATTAATGAATGATGTTATGAAAAAAAGTAGGCGCAGTTGGCGTGAGCGAGTCCACTCGTCTGAGCAGAGCCAGGAATACTTTCATCACGCAGCAGCACTTGCAGAGGGATCAAATGCAGGGAGACAATCAGTCTTCCGATTATACGAATGACAGCAACACGGCCGAGCAGCAAAGTTCGGGGACGTCCGCCGCGGGTATAGCCGCTATAACCGGTAGTTGCTTAGCGACTGTGGCCCTGCTCAGCACAATGGGTAGCCTCGGATTCATTATATACAGGTAACGAGAGTCTTATATTGTGCTTTTAATTACGCTCGTTAAACTTTGCGTATTAATAATGCGTCCTTTTCGCTCTCGTTTCAGGCGCAAGTACTTGAACCCTCCGCAAACACTGAACAGTGATAAATGCAGCAATCCTGATAGCTCCGGGTACATCGACGATTCCACCATTCGCGTTAGTATTACCATATAAGAGAAATTGATTAATCGAAACGCAAAAGCTTCAAGAATACATTTTTTACGTCTATAATAATTATTAATGTATTATATAACATAATAATAATAATATATGTATATATTAATATATTTATATTACATGAATATAATATATTTTAATATAACATAAACATTATTAATTCTTAAGCTTTTAGAATAAGCATGATAGAATTTTCGGGTCTGTCAATTTCTTGTATTTTCGCAGGATAATTCGGAGGAGATGTACAGCTTGGATAATGACTCGTTCCTAAACTCGCTGGAAGCGATGACAATACAGAATTACTGGACGGACAGTGTGAAGCATACGAAGCTATGACAAAAGAAGATAACCCATCCCGGCAGAAGGATCGAAACGTTCAGCATTTCTGACGGCGAAGCGCACGAGCAAATCTCCCTGCTCGAGCAATAATAGTACTTACGCTAGTCTGTGTATTCTGGTTGTCGCGCGAAAAGTTCGGTTGGTTCTCTCAAAGGACTGCAGGGAGGAGAATAAGTTATCTTGAACGTTACCACGTGTGTATGTATGTGTGTGCGTATGCGTGTGTGTAAAGAAAATATTGGATCAAAATTCGCGAGACGACGCGCATCCGCTCGCGTGTCGTTTCCGCACGTGACGTCACTTTCCCGTTCGTCCCTATATTTTTCTACGACGCATGCGTTCGGCAAAGTCGCAAGCTTAAGCAAGGGAAGTGACGCAGTTATTCCTCTCGAATCTTTCCATTAACGATATATAGTGCAATAAATAAACAAAAAATCGATGTACTTTATATATTATTAAATTAAAATACAATAATAACGCTCCTCTCTCTATTCTGTCTAGAAAAGTAAGTACAAATAAGACGATATTAGTCCATAGCTAGGATTTTCGCTAAATTAAAAAGGAAAGAAATAATTTAATAAGGATATATTGAAGAGAGACAGAGAGAGAAAGAAAAAAAGAAAGAAAGAAAAAAGGAGAGAGAGTATAATATTCTTAGGAATATAATTATATAAAAAAATATATTATAGTACAATATATATACTTCCGATCATGCGAATTGGAATCTGTATGTACAATATTGTACTTACCCAATGTCTTTTTAACCTTGGATTGAATACCGATGTCTTCTACAGTTTCACTTTAAAAAAAATTGCATTACGATTATGGTCGGCCATATTAACTTGTGGATTGTTTATAATAATTTTGAAAATTTCGGATTTACGGAAGATCGGACCAAATCGTACGTAGATCTAGCTTTATGCCTTCACGACATATCCAGCAGGAATATTGATTCCATTGTTTTCCATTACGAATATTTAGCTTATACCTATGTACATATGTATTGTTGTAACGTTTTATGTATAGATGTCTGTGGCGCGATTAATTTAAAATAGCTTTAGCACATTTAGCCAGATATATTTCTATACATACCGCGAAAGGGAAGAGAAAAGGACACAGAGAGAAAATACACATTGTGATAGATCGTAGCGTTTAAATAAGTGTAAAATTATCATCGGCTCGTTTATTGGTTAACGGTTGTGAATAAAATACGTTCGTGTATTATTATAGATTAACTGCCGCCGTCCCATTTCTTTATCCATAGGCTACATTTGCAACTGTATTCGATTGTTTCAATTTGAATCGATAATGAAAGATAATTTATCGCGGAATTTTTATGAGTTTTAGATTTACAATTTTTTTTTATTTATTTTTTTTAATATTTTGCATTAACGCATGCATATATATATATATATATATATATATATTTATATATATATATATAAGCGTCTAGTTTTATCCACAAAAAATATTGTTCAAATCCAAAAAAAAAAATTGTTCAGATATACTATAATAAATTAAAACTATAGATTTATAACCATGGATGTTGATTCGCTTTTTGATGAAAAACTAATCATCAAATTCCAATGAATCATAGATACTTAAGTTCTCATCGAAACAGAAAGATAAGGGAAAAAGCATCGAGGAACGATTTGTCATATAAACGAGATTTATTTCGTTAGTACGTATATTTGCGCCAGCACAAAAAAAGGATCGTATTATTATATAAAATGAGAATAATGCAGAGTTCCTTTTTTCGAGACTAGACACATACAGCATGGGATTCCACTGCCGATTCGTCTTTATCCTTCCTTCGTGAGGATTCATTTTCTTTTTGGCTCTTGTTAACATCGACTCGCGTCAATTGTGCGCTGTATCGAAGGTAGGAATCGCGAATGGCATTGAAATCCGACAGTTAACGTCTTCCTGGCAATCACGGTGAATCTCTTTCCCATCTCCGAGAAACGTCTAGTCGAATTTCTCGAGTAGCCAGATTTCGTTTTGTAGTGCATAGTTAAATCGTGAATCTGTTAATGGATTCTAAGTATCACGAACAAAACCACTTTTTTTTTGTACATATCTTAGTGAAATAGCATTTAACTTCTCGATAATAATTGGTACTAAAGTAGAAGAGTATCAAATTTATATAATATAATATAGTAAAATTCGTTTTACGAATATTGTTCCTTAATCATCGATCAAAGATTATTATCATTATTGACAAACAGTGCGATTTTTTTATAAACCTCGTATCGCTACAAGAGAATTCGATTAAGTGTTTCTCTTTATGTACAGAGAGCCTCGCACGTCCCGAATTACACTTCATAATATTCACAGGGCAGTGTTAGAAGTATCAGAGTTACACTAGTACGCGTAAAAGGCAGGCACTAAGTGGACTCTTCAAGCTTCGTTGCTTGCTGAGTGAAGAAACTCGATACACTGTCCGTTTTTCCTTTTTCTCGAACGCCTTGTTGGCCGAACATTTGGCGGCGAATTCAAAGAACAAAGCAACGCAACGTTCTGGTAACTCCCTTTCTCGCAAGCTCGCTTGTGTACCCTAAAATCGGGATAAGCCGTAAATGCAACGAGATGTATTCGAAAAAAAGCATACTTTGTCGGAAATTATATGCAACGTTTGTTTGTTTCTTTTATATATAAAATCACATTGGAAACTTCCTACGACTGATCATGATTCTATCATAGTTATCAATGTATCATATGATCTCTATTCGTTCACTCCACGAGACGAAGCAATAATGTATAATCATTTACTCGTACTGCGTTATAGTTCGACACCTTATTGGAATTAAAAAAAAAATACATTGTTCGAAGATACTTAATTTGTACTTAAGTACGTACCGAGAATAGACTATCTATAGCGACTATCAACGCAGCTTTAACTTCATATACATAAATCATGCGGGATTTTCTTTCAAATTTGCGATATTCTAATTCTAAACCGTCTAGACCCGGACGCTTGTTTGAATTTTCGCGCAGAGTCGAGAGAAAAGAAAGAGTTTTTACATAAACGTATCACCTTGAGAGAAAGTACAGAGATCATTCAAAAGTCAAGTTGTAAATGGATGACACTTGCGAACCAGCGATACACTCTACTATTCTTAAGATTTTCCTTGCGTGGTTTACATCTACGCACGAGTGAACCCTCGCGAAAGGATTCGCACGCATTCCTCGCGTGTATAAAAAATGCGTGCGCGACGGAAATGACAGCTGCGAGTGCGTTATAGTATATTGTGTAAAAAGTGCGGAAAGTTGACAATTGGTCACGAGTGCGACCATCCCACACGAGTGAACAATTGTCAATCCGCACGTGATACACATACTATTTTGTATTACAAGTGCAGGCAAAGTGGCTTTGTGCGCGAGGTGGCCGATCGCACGCCATCTTGCGACGGCACGGTGTGGGAATAGCCGCGTTCAGTCATTGTCCATGACTGAAGCCGTGGGCAATGTATTGACCATGGTTTTAGCCGTGGGCAATGACTTTGAACGCAGCTCAGCCGTAGGCAATGGCTTTGAATGCGGCTTATTCACTCACCGCGTCGCCGCTAGATGGCGGCGTGGGAAATCGGCCGCTTTCCGCACAGAAAACACGCACACAAAGTGCCACTTTGTCTGCACGTGTAATACAAAACATTTTTCCTCTTCAATCATTGCTCGGTGCCTGACAAAGAGCAACAGAAACGCGCTTGTCGAGTGCCTCTTGTAAAGCTAAACTGCGACCTTGATCTACAAAAATATTTCACTCTCTTCGTCATTAGCAGCGCGCCTCGTCACAGTCGTTGTTGGCATTATATTATAATTAGGGGGTTTTACGTGAACGTGTCACGTAATAACCATGTGAATTATTTGTTTTCCCTAACGAAATCCCTATCGTCCCCTAAGTCGAGCGTCGATAAATAAGAAGATACAGAGTCTTCTGTAAGCTCGCGTGTTGCTAGCTACATCGAATTTGGCTGGAAATTGAAATATTGGCTATGTACAATCCCTCCCCATTACGTTTTCTCGCCCGAGACAGACGAGAATTATGATAATCTACGTTAAAGAAAACTTACTTAAATCGACGACCATCTACTTTATCTAAGTGTACATGTATACACTGGAAACAATGATTCTCTACATGCGCCAGACTTGTTAGTAGCAGTTTAAGTTCATACGTCAAGACGATTGGATCAGTTTCTTATACAGAGAAATAATTGTATATAATAATTATCTGTAAATAGCGTCAGACGACTTTGCTGCGATTAAAGTGCATTATCGATCGCGATAATTCGTTAATGATTTGCGCAAAAATGTAGCTTTTTTTTTTTTTAAAGAGATACTTCGCGTCCTAAAAATTTCACCAATTCATTATCGTGTGTAGTATATCACTCGTTATTTCTGAAATATTTCTGTGTAATATAACATCGAACACTCTTCTAAATTGTTTAGTTCACATATATCTTCATGCAGGGAAACGTTTCCGAATCACGGATTGTAACGATTTTCGATTCTCAAGATCTACAACGTTTAATCGTGTAGAACGTTTCTTCATCGTTACAATTCAGCGACAAACGAATCGCATCGCGAAGCAATAAGTAAGAGATCAAAAAATCCCCGAAGAGTCATCGGATTTCTTCAAAATACCGCCCGAATCGCGTCTCGATCTTCTTCAGGAACGAATGGAAGATGTGGACGACGTCGACGCGAATCGATTCAGTTTACTGTCGATGATGATCTCGTCCCCGTTTCTGATGTTGTATCGGTAGAGCTGCTTATTCGGATACAGCATTTCTTCCGGTCCGTATTGCGCCTTCATTTCCTGCAAAAGATTCAGATTTATTCTTCAAGATCAGACTTGTTTATTCTTGCAAGTGACGGAGATAAACGTGGTGTTTTTAATAATTCGACAAATTTTACTCCGATAAGTTGTTTCCCTACCTTGTGAAATATTAAGATATTTCGGGAAATACTTGTTGCAGAAAGTTTTGGGACACAAAGGGATAAAAAGGATTTACATCGCGACTTCGGGTTTTCCAAAGGAACGATCGAGGTGACAAACGTTCTGCGAAGGTAATATTAAAATTCATTAATTAATACAGGGTGAAATCATCTTACCTGATCAACATAGAAGAGTCTCATTCTGTTGGCAGGAATTTTCACCATACTTTCCAGTTTGGTTTTTAATTCGAAAACTGTTCTATATACATCCACCGATCGTACCTAAAAAAATACAACATCTGGTACAGAAATTCTTCTTATGAATGTCACCAATAAAAATTTATTTCCTCGAGTTTAACCTTTAGAAGACGGGAAGCCAATATCTTGGCTCTATAAGGGTCGCTTATTTTTCATAGTACAACACTATAATAAAGATATACAAATTCCTACTTCAAATTACAAAAGTTCACGAAAAAATACGCTCGTCCTCTAAAGGTTAATTATATTATAATAAATTGTTAATTAACTAAAATTAATTTCCAAGATGTATGCTTTTCAATGGAACACGCCTGTCTGAAGTGACGTATGAAATTGAAACACGAAATGCAATACCTCGACGAGATCTCCGTAAGTGAACGTGACCTTGACCCTCTTCTCCGGTGTCAAATCCACGTTCACCAAGGGGTCCAGCTTTCCGTGAATAGCCACGAGCTCGGAATATCTGAAAATTGAAGAAGGGGGTCAAGTTGAAACGAGAATAATTCTCTAATAGGCTCGGAGCAAAAAGTTGGAACCGCGAAAATTCATTCATCGGATCATCCGTCATCATTCGGAGGGAGAAGCTTCGGGACCATTTTGTGACAGCGTCGACGCTCACCTTTCAGGGCGATCCGCCTCCGGCTTGTCCATGTAATAACGTATAAAGGCCCTCTCGGCGTCCTCGCGTTCCTGGGACGATATCACTCCGCCGCCGTTCAAAGTCTCGACGTTGGGCAACCGAGCTATTAGTAGCTGCCGCCTCTCGTGCTCCGTGTATTCGCGAGGGCTCTGATATGTTAAACAGACAGATACAAAACGGTGAACGAATATTCATATCGAATTCACGAAAAGAGATTGGATCTGATAAGTCCGCAGGATTTTTTTCAGGGAGGGTTCACATTTTTTTGTTTCTTAGTTTTTCTTTCTTAATTTTTAAAATTATTTTTATGTTATATTAAATATGCAAAAATAGTTATTTTCAAAGAAATATTTTTTTTCATTATTTTTCTTTTTTCTGAATTATTATATATATATATATATGAGGATAACATATATATACATATGTTATCCTCAAATTTCAGACAAATTAAATAAAATGAAACTTGGTGGACATTTTCCACTAATAAAAAGAATATTTATTAATATTAAAAAAATTAAAACTTAATCCTCCCTCTTTAGAAAAGTGAAATTCCTCAGGGAAGAATATGAGTATATATATTTTTATAAGAAACCTCCCTTAATTTTCGATAAAGAATCATCTCCTAAAATTTTTCGCACTTATTTAGATACACCCTGTATAATTGGATTACATATTAATTACACATATTATATTAGTGAATAGAAAATTAATATAATATGAAAATATGAATATAGAAAAGTTGCAGATGTATATTTGATAACATAAAAAAATAATGATTCTCAGAAAGAAAAAAATAACAATAATATTTAAATCTTCGAAATAAATCAGATTTGGATAATTTTAAAAAGTGCAAATTGCATTTTACGTCAATTATAATAATATCAAAGAGCTGTGTCTTCGTAATACAACGGGACTGTAATTATAAACAGCGACAACATAAAGAATAGAAACCGCATTCCGCAAGAAAACTGGTTGTTCATTGATTAGAAGGTCACCGCACACGCGTCATTTTAATTAACATTATGCGTCGATCTATTTTATTTCGATATTCTGATGTACAGGGTGTTTCCAATCACTTTTTTCATTATTTTTATCAATCAAATAAACTGGTATACAAACATTTTATTTATATTTATATTAAAAACAGCTCATAATTTTTGTCTTCTCAATAATTGCATGCATTAAAAAATGACAGCTGATTAGTTTCAGCATTTTCCTATTTGATAAAAAAATACGAAGGAGTAAATATCTTTTTTATTTTCTCTTAATTTGCACAGCGCTCGGAAACACCTAAGATTGCGTGTTCGTAGAGTCTATCGATTTCGAAAACTTGTTTTGGAAACTCATATGCGTTGCATCAAGCCTACTTGAGCAGATGCCAAGACTCGGTTGCGCTAACTTATACATGCGAAAAGCTCTCTTCGAGCTCACTCGGGACAGGCATATTTCTCGGATAGTCGCATTCGATGTTGTCAGAGATTAGACACGTGTCTCCAATCTGTCTATCGTCGAGATTGAACAGCCACGACGCACTCTGTTTGAGAGGGTGAAAATAACCCTACGCTTCAAATCATTTCCGCACCGTATCGTATTTCGTGACGTGTTTTCTCTCCGAGTCTTCGTGGAATAAATTTGTTCTTTGCGAGTTAACTTCAAAGAACATTTATATACAAGAACGCTCCGCCCTCCGCTCTAAGAAGGTAACGATTAAAAGTTCGAAGTCTATCGCGTGCATTGTAATTATCTTCCGTTACAGAATTAATTTCTGAACTCCTCGAGAAATTTATCTCATTTTTTCTTTATAGGTACGCAACACGCAAAGATTATTTAGACATTTTTATTTCGAATTATATTATACGCCCGCAATATATTGTATATACAGGGTAGACCATTTTATACAAAAGTTTCATACAAAAGTTGTAGGATTCAGAGAGGGACACTTGACGAAGACCTTGACCCTAATCTTGGAGTCTTTAGGGATCATTTTAAGATCAACGTGATTTTCTTAAATGGAAATACCAATTTTTAATATCATATTCTTGTAGCTGGTGTCGAGACCTTACCAAAACGTTATAATAAAACATTTCTCTATTAAGTATTATACTTTTTGAGTTATAAAGGTTTGAAGTTAATTTTTTGACATAAAATGCTTTTAAAAAAATATGTTGCAAATTACAAACATTCTTTTTAAAGAAACTATGTTTTCTTTACATTGATTAATTGGTCTCATTATTCCGTGCATAAACTATTAAGGTACGATTACCGAAAACTAAATATTTTGCAAGATATTTTACCTTTTATGTCAAAAAATTGTTAACTTCAAACCTTTCTAACTCAAAAAGTACTGAATGGAAAAATGTTTTATTACAGTGTTTTGGAAAGGTCTCGACATCAGCTACAAGAATATGATACGAAAAATTGGTTCCATTTAAGAAAATCAAGTTGACCTTAAAATGACCCCTAAATATGACTCCAAGGTCAGGATCAAGTATCCCCTTCTGAATCCTACAACTTTTGTATAAAACATTTTTCTATTTTGCTTACTTTATGAGTGTATTGATTAAAATGGTCTGCCCTATATATATATATATATATATATATATATATATATATATATATATATATATATATATATAGTATTTAGAAAAGATGAAGAAAATGAATTGTGCATCAGAGGTGAAATCGCATCCGGTCTTTAATCGACGAGCGAAACGTGGCATCGAAGTGCATCAATCGAAACGTTTCCCAAACTGGCGCGAGCGTAATTTCAGACTTTCCAATGTTCGACCGTAGGATATGGAGGAAGGGGTCGCTCACCTCGAAGAGCGGACATCCTTGAATCCTGAGCGACTTGAGGGCGGGGAACCTGGCGAGCCTCTCGACCTCGTCCCAGGCCGATAACAGGGTACCGTTCACGTTCAAGAACCTCAGCATCCTGAAAGGATCGTGGGGCGACTTGATGCTCGTCCCGTTCGACTCCGACTCCGACTCGGATCTGTCGTAATTCACCTTGCTCTCGAATATACGGTTTCCCTTTTCGTCCGCCGACGACGTGTGGCGCTCGTCCGCGTCCAAATGATTCATGTTCTCGCTGTCCTGCCCGCGATCCTCCTCCTTATTAGCACGTCGATCGGTCTCGGCAGGCAGATTCCGATTTTCCTCCAGACCGAGCGATCTGATCGGACACTCGGCGAGGACGAGGCTCTTCAGGTTTGGAAATAGATAGCTGGAAAAAATATAATACACGGCTAGAGCAATTTATTTTACGAATTTTGAATTAAATTTTTATTTTTAACTTTATTAATTTTAATTTTGAATTAAGTTCTATTTATTATATTTAAACATTAAGAGAGATCTCGAAACGATTTATTATTTTGTATATTTTTTTGGAGATAAAAATTCGCAACCCTCTGTATCCCTTTCTAAAAAAGGAATGTTACTTTTTCTCCACCGTTGTTCTAGTATAATATATATTTTGTATATTAATATTAATTTAAAAATTAAAAAATAATATAATATTAGTATAAAAATATTAATATTAATATCAATATATTATATAAAAATAATATATTAAATATAATAATATATAAAATATATTATAAATATTAATATTAATATAATATTAGTCCCATAAAAAAATAAGAAGAAAGTTACCCCAACTTGGAGATCTCGTTCCAAATCTCGACGGGATTCCCGGTGAAGTGCAGCTTCTTGAGCGCCGGGTTGACGTTCTCCGGCTTGAGGTGATCGAGGTCCACCGTTTTGTACTCGTTCAAGGACAAGTGCAGCTCCTCGAGGTTTCGCAGAAGCCGCACGAGGCCCTGCACCGTCGACCAGGACACCCTGGTGCCGTTCAGCACGAGGTTTCTCAGGAGATCGTAGTTGCCGTGTTTGACGTCCAGCACCTCCGCGAGGCAGTTGAAACTGAGGTTGACGAACTTGATCTTGGGCATGTGCTGCAGAATGCCGAAGACCTCCGTCCACTGCGACAGCTTGTTCTGGGCGAGATCGAGCTCCTCGACGTTCTTGCACTTGCTGCGCAGCTTCTCGGCGTCGTTGCCCGCGGACTCGATGTCGCAGTCCTGGAGAACCAGCAACGCCGGCACCGTGTGCCGCGGCGACTTCTTCGGAATGAAGATGCTCACCGAGAGAGCGGCTTTGGGCGACCCGGACTCAGCCTCGTCGTCCGTCAACGAGCAGTCCGTCGTCGAGCTGCCGTACTTCAGCTCCAACGCTTCCAGCAACGACGGCATTTTTACAGCATTCTGGGAATTTGAAAAATTCCTCATTTTCTTCCTCCACATTTTACAATTCAATTTTCACATATGCAAAAATCAGGGTTGGGTAAGCAAGATACATATTTAATCGATATTTTAAAATGTTGATTTTATATACATTTTCTGATGTCATGTTTTATAAATATGTTTGAAATGTTATTAATAAGTATTTTGAAAAATATTTTATCTGATGTTTTATGAGTGTTTTAAAAATATTATTTGATAACATATTGCTCTCAAAATAAAATATTTTAAAAACGTTATTTCAACATTACCGAAACCTCTAAATCGACGTCAAAGTTTGTTCATAACGATGTTGCATACAATGTTAAAAATTACATACTTGATAACAATAAATGAAGCAAGTGATGAAGCAATTTGGAAACCAGATTCAGGACCCAAAAAATGATAAGAAACGATTAGTTTCGAAAAAAGTCACTTTCATCTAAATCATTTATATAATTTCGTTTTAGGTAACAGCAAATCCTGATTAAAAATTTCTCGAAATTGTGACGTGATGAAGGAATTTGAAAACCGGATTCAGGATCCAAAAAATGATTAGTTCCGAGAAACGTCAGTTTTTGTTGACCAGTGTTGTTGAAGTTGCTTGAATAAAGGAGAAGAGACGAAGCTGAGAGTAGGGAGAGACTCGAAGCTGTTTGAGAATAAATTCTATTCCCTCCCAATCTGGATACGAACGAGAATCGAAGTGCAAGCACGCATCCAAATGACACAAAGCGAAACCGCGGGACCAGAAAAGGGAGAAGGAAAAACCTTCGAGCCGGTCATCCTCGAGACACGTTAGAATCTGGTCTCACCATATCCGCTAAGGTCACGCCATTGTCTTTTTGCGCAGCGACTGGGAACCGGTACCGGTTCTCCGGGTCGACACAAAACGATTCCTCGTGATTGCACTCGCCCACGCGAGAAGAGAAGACCCGGAGCGATTTTCTGAACCTGTTTCGTCTATCGAAGCGGAAAGACACGTTGACTCGAGATAAATCATTCCCGATAAAAGGGGAAAATTCACATGTAGACAAAGAAAAAGAAGTGTTTTAGTATTTTAGTATTAAAAAGTTTATTAATTTTTATGTTCATTTGTCATTAATTGTAATGACCAAAAGATATATTTCTATATAAAAATCAAAATTTCTTTGTTATTATTTATTTTAAAAGAATTAACAAACAAAATTCTAATTTTATAGGTAAATAATATTTTTAAATAACAAAGAAATTTTCATTTTTATATAAAAATATATTTTTTGGTAATTACAATTGATGACATATGAACATAAAAATTAATAATACGTTTATAACATATAAAAAAAAAGAATAATGGTATTCAGAGATAAAAAAATTTAACTTGGGAAAAAAATTAAATAACTAGTTGAAGTTAAAAGTTCATACATTTTAAATTAACTAAGCTAAGTTAAAAGTTGTTAATTTTTTCACTTTTTTTTTAACTTTTAACTAATTAACTATTATTACCCAACCCTGGTAATACATAATGGCTGGATAAAATATGCTAGATGTTTTCTGTCTGTCAATTCTAGAAACTCAAGTTCGATAAAGTCTGTGAAAGAGGCTGAAGAATCTCACGAGTTGAGAGTGCATCTATTTTGGGATTTCTTTAAAGATTGATTCGGATGAAGCCTTGGAAAAACCTATCACAGACACTTTTAGCTGTTTTTGAAACTTCTGTACATATATATATAAAATATATTTCAGAAATTATCGCTGGAAAAATCAACATAAATAATTATAGTTTCTATTTGCGAAGAAACTATCTTAATATTAATCAAAAGAAATAAAAATTCATCAAATTTTCGTTATTGTATATTTAATACAGATTTGTAATAAAATGTAATAACTTATTATTTTTTAAATTTAATTTTAAAATTAATTCTAGTCTAATAATATTTAGAGTTTCGAGTTTTAAAGTTATTATAATTCAATTAATATCACACAGTAGGAAAAATGCTCCAAAGATTTTTCGTTGTGTTTTATAAATCATAATATTATCTTAAATAAAAATTAAACTTTATTACATATATATTTCATTCAAACTTCATAAATCAAAATTCAAGGGCTTATAAATTTTTTTATTGATAGTTTTAGCTATTAATTCGATTAATATCTGCAAGAAAAATTTTCAATGATTTTTTTCATCGTATTTTAAATCATAATACTAATAATCTTAATTATTACATATATTTAATCCAAGCTTGTGATAGATAAAATGCAAGGGCTCATAAATTTTTGTATTGAATTGTAAAATAAATTCTCTATTTAAACGATATTAAGTTGTTGAATATTCATATATGTAGGAAAAATTCTCAATGATTTTTTTTCATTGTATTTTAAATCATAATACTATCTTAAAGAAAAATTAAACTTCATTACATATATATTTCATTCAAACTTCATAAATCAAAATTCAAGGGCTTATACATTTTTTTATTGATAGTTAGCTATTAATTCGATTAATATTTGTAGAAAAAATTCTCAATGATTTTTTTTCATCATATTTTAAATCATAATACTATCTTAAATAAAAATTAAACTTCATTACATATATTTAATCCAAGCTTGTGATAAAATGCAAGGGCTCATAAATTTTTGTATTGAATTGTAAAATGAATTCTCTATTTAAACAATATTAAATTGTTGAATATTCAAGTTTTAGCTACTAATTCGATTAATGTAATGGCTAAAGGAAAATTCTCAACGACTTTTCATCGCGATTTCTCGAGCGACAATTCTAGACAACAGCAATGGTAGAAGAGCGATTTAAAGAGCTCTATCATACGGCACGTTTATTAATACGTAGCCCTATTACCACATCTTCAATCAGCGATAAATGTCTTTCTACGCACGCATACACGCCTATATACGGCTACTCTGTCATTCGACGCGTCTTCACTATGCATGACGACCGCGATTCAACCACCTTCCACGTGTTGTCGCACAACACGATGCAGCGTCCCCGACTCTAATGCCCGCAATTGCATTATTTATTAGACCGAAGAGAGTGACTGGCTATCTGCGTTTGTGTTTTTTGCGAAAGTGTGCAACCGACTCGGCGTATCGAAGTATATCTCGAATTGTCCTGATCCTGACAGGAGAGACCGAAAGACACGTTTCATTCGAGTTTAAAGCAGATTTGGAATGGAAGTAAATTAATATTTATAAAATGTTTATTAAAATTTTGTATGTTAAAATTATTTGTGCTAAATTTGTTATCCTTATTTATGCTAAAATAAATGACATTTAATATTTTTATTTATGTTTGTCTCTATGTTTGAAAAGGATAAAAACAAATTTGAGAAGATGTAAAAATTATATAATAACAGTGTCCAGCAAACTTAATGAAAAAAATTCTCTGACTTTTTCAGATTTTCCAGAAATTAATTTTTTTCCTTCTAATATTATTTTTTGTATTATTTAGTATTACTTAGACTTTTTAGTATTATTTTTTCCAATATTTTTTCCATAATATATAATTTGCATGTATCTATATAATAAATGTTAAATGCCAATTAAATGTTAAATCATGAAATCCTTGAAATATTTTTGTCAGCGATGAAAAGGTTCGGAAGTTAAAACAAAAATTTAAATCAATTATACAATCTGCATTATGTACGATAATCGACACAAACATGTTACTATAAACTACCAGTATTTGCTGTTATCTATAGATAAAATTAAATAGATGATCATCTATAGATGACATTCATAATCAATTTTGACATTATCTTAGCTTTATATAGCTAATAAAAAGATGTATTCTATTTATATCTGCATCTTAGAAAAAAGTGATTTCTTTACTAAATTATCTAGAATAATGTTCAGATAATTTAGTTTAATCATAGCGTACGCTGAAAGAAATTATTTAATTATTCAAATAAATATTTATTTCAATCTACTATTTTATGCATCATTTTTTTAAAACTAATAATATTGATTTGCTGTAAAAAAATATTTATTTGATATAAGAAATCCTTTTTCAAACCAGATTATTTATTTGTTTCAAACAAATGTGTAAATGAAACATTTAAATAAATATCGGTAAATATTTATTTGAATTTAATAGTTTTTTCAGAATTTAAGCTAGTAAGCCATAAAAACTTATAAATAAAAATATGAATATATTTTTATATCCCTTTTATAATTTACATTTTTTATAACTAAATAATATTATCTGGAAATTGTCTGGACGAATCGTCATATATAATTTTCTTTTCTTTTACCTAGATATATTTAAAACAAAATCATCTTCATCTCATCTAAAATAAATTTACATATTTTCATCTCATCTTTATTTAGCTAATTTCTAGCATATTACAGACTTTTCACAGACTTTACCTTCAAATTAATTTTTAAAAATATTATTTATAAAATTAGAATTTTGTTTATAATAACAAACAACAAAGAAAGTTTGATTTTTATATAGAAATATATTTTTTGGTAATTACAATTGACGACAAATGAACATAAAAATTTATAATTTTTATGTTCAAAAAAATTAATAATTCTTTTTAATTTAAAAAAATCATCTATAAGCACAACACTGCTGATATCCGGTATGTCGAGTATCTCGCAAAATCGAGGGAAGGATCGATAAAAAATGCACGCGATGCGGAAGATCCGCATGCAGATCGAGAACTCTTCGGGATTCTCGCTCGCGAAAGACGGAAGACATTGCGTTACGTGTCGTTCGAGCGACATGTAACATGCAAAAAAAACCGACTATTCGCTTTTGCTGGACGCATACGTGAAATTGCACTCGCGTTTTACGTAAGAAGGCCATTACCGATTACGTCGCGTCGCACATTTCTATACTAATTTAAAATCGTTTTACGCCCGTGCGTTATGGAAAACGCGGTGAAATGAAGAACGATTCTCGCATAATCGCGATGCAAATTTTCGCATAAATATTCATTGCGTATAGACAAATAACGACACGTGTGTGATGAGAGAGAAAGAGC